ACCCTCCCATCAACCCTCTGGAATTGTTTACTGTTATTATTCCCATTTGACATTACCAGGAAACGAAAGCATAAAGAGATTAAGTAACTTGTCCAAGGTCACACAGGTAATAAGTGACAAAAATAGGAAAATGAACCCACGCAGTTCTTAATAACTTGTTCTTAATAACTATATGACACCACTTACCCCACGATGTTCCTTGTACAACTCTTTAAAAAGCAAAATGTTGTTCCTTAACTGTCTCTAAGCATTTCACTTCCATTTCCTTCCTTTCAAAGGATATCTATGCTTCTGAAATTTCTTTTCTGCTATCCCAAATGTTTCAAGATCATGGGAATTATTCAGCTAAATCATCAAAATGCTTTGCTTCCAAAATGCTTTGCTTCCATTACCACGCTTTTTACTTAATTTCCATCCTCTCTCTCCATCCCAATGTGTTTCTTTAAAGGAGAGTTGCAAGCGGGTGTTCTTGCAGCCTGGGTGGCTACCTTTAGCCTTTCATTAATCTTTGAGATTCTTACTTTCCTAAAGGACAGTGACAGTGGCATAATTACCCAGCAACCAGTAGTAAAAGTAATTTGAATTTAAATCTCGTAATAATTTCTTCCTTTCAGAATTTATTTAACCCTGTCCCGCTTAATACTTGAGGGAATACGTTAGGGCACAGTAAAGGGAGGGAAAGGAACATGGTTTTGCATCTGATTAAGAAAAGATTGGGTTTCTTTCCTTTTAGATTTCAGATTTGAAGCTTTTGCACCTTTTATGTAGTCTTCTCATAGGCTTTGAGGTTTATTCATCTTCAGCCAGAAGAGAGATTTTGAATGTTTTGGCTAATTACATGTAAATGTATGAAAGAAAAAAGGAGACATCATTTTATACTTCCTTGTTCATTTTTAAATGAAAATCAGTCATTCAAATCGTCCCTCAACCAACCTTTCTAAATTCCAAGGCACTAAAATACTATCAGTTAAATAATGGATTAATGTTTTGGATCACAGTTATGACAAAATAATTATACTTTTAGATCCGTTCTTGTAGACTTTACAGTGCTTCTGAGTCCTTGGCATAATGAATCTAGGCTCATTTTACTGGACTTAGTGAAAGGTTATGGTGGTGGAAGTTTATGGTTGTTACTTGACTGTTGTGAAAAATTGCCTGTTTTTCCGTATCTGTTGCCAAAGCCACAGGCCAGAAAAGCCACCCCTTATTTTACACACTTGTCTTCTGGCAGTGAAATCTTCCCAGCAACCCATTTGATTATATGATTTGCAGGGGGGTGATTACCAGTCAGAGTAAACCAGGGACTGATTGCTCATGATGCAGCCAAACTCTGTAGTGTTTGCCTGATGTTTATATGTTTGCGGTGGGAGTGGGGGCCTGTATGTGGCATAAGGCTCTGTACAGAGTCACATCAAACTATACTTAGTAGTCAGGGAAATCATTTCTAACCAATGATTTTCGAGGGTCAGAGGAAGAGAGGTGATTTAAGGATGTGTGAATGATTTATAGCGTTAAAAATGCTCTTTAAATGAGCTGTGTGTTCTTTTTGTGTGTGTGTGTTTGGCATCTGCAAAGGTTTTTTTTCTTTTTTTAACATTTTTTATTGATTTATAATCATTTTACAATGTTGTGTCAAATTCCAGTGTTCAGCACAATTTTTCAGTCATTCATGGACATACACACACTCATTGTCACATTTTTTTCTCTCTGTGTGTTCTTTATTTGGGGTGGAGGAATGTAGCACTTGCAAAACACCCACCAAATTGGTAGCCAAGTCCCCATATGTATTGGGGTTTCCACCAGGGAGGACAGCAGATATTAATGGCATCATCTCGGTTGTCCAATTACTCAATTACTTGCAGTAATTAGGGAGGGGGCAGTTTAAATTAAAAAAAGGATTGAATTACAGAATACTTCCTTTTAAGTAAAAGATATATCCCTCAAGAATTGCTATGGAATACTATGGATTTGGTTTAACAAATCTTTCTGTAACTGGCATAGCCTTTGAACAGACCACTAGGAATCGGGCTCTCAAATTAGCATAGCCCAAATGTAGCATATATTGTTGTGTTTAAGATTAAGGAAATTCTTAAAACCAGAATGCATAATAGGGATACCAAGGTCAACCCTTAAAGTCACATCAGTCCTCTTTTGAAGGAATTGTCTCCTCTGACATCCAGTGGGTTAGAATAAATTTGGCAGATGTTAAATGGCCCTGAAAATAAATTCTCAGCACCAAGGCCAACCCAAAACCCAGATTCTTAACTAAATGATCCAGTGGTTACACACATTTGGATTGTTCCTTTGTCCCTTCACTAGTTATTTTCAGTGTAATTAAAACCCTTTTAAAATTGAATTCCTAACATAATCAATTAGAAGCACATTTCCAGGACTGTGAGGCTGCTTCAAGATGCAGTGAAAGGGAGACTAAGTCAGGTGAGCATCCGGAATTACCAGGAAAAGTGGGCAAACCCCTGAAAATGAGCAGTTACCATCATATGTCACATCACTCATCTCTTTTGCAACAGGGCTACATAAAAGGAAAGTGTGTGTGTGGCGGCATCGGGGTGGGGGGGTGGCTGGCGTGTTTTAATGGCCTCAGCTGCCATTTGTGTGTCTACCTAAATTTACATGTTATAACTTGATGTGTATTCATGTCTACAAATGACACTTGAGAGTAAACCAATGACATCAACTTCTGCTGACATTAAACAGTGGGAAATTTTGTAAAGGATTTCAGACCTTTCTGTGCACTGTTTTATCATTATAAAATCTAGGTACAAGGCACTTTCTTTCCATCTCTTGTGTCTTATGAGCCTCCTTGCTTGTGAGAGAAAAAGCAGATCAATGGAATAGATATTTTTTTCTTCCTTTCAGACCGAAAGACAGGTTTAGGTTTTTTTTTCCTTCCTCAAATATTTTTAAAGTATATCTTTTATATCCAAACTCTCTGCTGGTGATATTTTTGTTCTTATAAAGACCACCCTTTTCTTTCCCCAGTTTCATCCTGTCCCTTTATGTTCTGTGGTATCACTGTGGCATCAATCCCCGCTTGTAATGATTTGCCTGCCGTTTAAGCCACAAGGTGTAAATTTGCTAACTGAACAGGCGTGCTCTGACAGTTAATCTCCATGTGTGTCCAAAGGCTGAGCTGGCTGCACTGGGTAATTTCCCTGGGGGATTGTTCTGTAGAATGTGGGGCCATTTGTTGAGCTGTGTGATGTGGGAGAAGGGGAAATGAAAGGACTGCCAGAGAGAAGCAGGCTCAGACGGTGCCTTTTAGAGCAAAAAAGGAAATCAAAGGACAATTTCAGGTCCACTGCAGTTCCCTAAGCTTGTTCCTGGAACTAGGGAATCTGGGATATTTTCTTATTCGTGTTTTTAGAGAAGTCCCTGAGAGAGGGCCCCAAATTAGGAGGTTATGGCAAATTTAGTAATGCCTGTGGGCTGTCCTTAGAAATTCCCACCAACCTAAATGTGCCGTAGACTTACAAGTCCTTCAAGGGTCTGCAAAAAGTGTTTGGAACCAGAAGGAAAAATATCTGTTGATATTGACTCCAGAATCCAAAAAGGTATCTATAAGAATATTCAGTGTTTAATTGAATGTCTACCAAGTAAAATCAACTTCATTAAGAATTTGATTTAGTCTTCTTAAAAATTACATTACATGTGAAACCAAATTGCAGATTCAGCTTTCTCACTTTCCAAGATTTCTAGCATGCCAGTCAGAAATTAAATGAATTGCACATAGCCAGTCATTTGAAATGCAAAATTATGAGTGCTTTCCATTTTTGTTTTACACAAAAAATGTACATTTCAGGTTGAATATGGGGTCATGTGAGGATTCCTTCTGGGGCCTGTATGGTGGGACTAAAGAAGAGAGTCCAGGGCTCATGAAGATTTTAAAACAATCCTGCCCTCATAAATGCTCCTCTAAGTGTATGATTGGTCCTGAAGACATAGATCAGCAAAGATGCTAATGGGGAAGAGGACTAGAAGGCCAGACAGGGGAAAGGTTCCAGTTTCTTCTTGCTGTGTGCACCCTTACTTGAGGTGAAGTGACAGAGACAGTGGTCTGATCATGAGGAAGATCACAAGGCACCTGTACACCATTGGAAAGACTACAGGACAGTGCCTGGTTCTGTTGAAGAGGGAGTGTTCACTTCAAGTGGGGAAGGTTAAGCCGTCCAGTTGGGGCTTGTTAGAAGAACGCAGTGTCCCCGTGTCTGAATTGCGGTCTCTCCCAGCAGATGAGCGGACCCTCGTGAGCCTTTGGATTTTAGTCAACTTCTCTCAACTTGACAGATATTTCCATTTTAAGAATGGGAAACCTGACGTGGTGGGGCAGGAAAGAAGGTGGATTTTCTGAATTCCATGTGTGATGATCCTAGTCTTTAATTCAAGTGGCCTGATTTCTTCAGGCTTTATTTTATTCACCACATGTGGGGCAGTGAATGTTGACTGCCTCCAAAAGACATGGAATATGACACGTCCTTGTAATTCCAGCCCCCAGGAGTAACCACTAATAAGAGTTTGGTATAATTTTTGCAGAACTTTTTTTCTTTACATATACTGAAGTATTATTCATTTATTTTCCTTTATAAAATGAGATAATAAATAAGGTTTTTAATTTTTTTCACTTAACAACATGTCTTATGTTTTTCTGTGTTAATGTGTACTTACCCCATTCATTGTAATGACCACTGGATTCCACTCGATGGCTGGGCCACAATGGATCTCACTGGCCTCTGTTACTGGGCATTTCGGTCGGCCATTCAACTTTGATCTTTCAAGAGAATGTACCCTGTGCCTAAATAAAGCATTATATGTTGGCTGGAAATATGTGCTTTTGACCCCCAGTGTTGGCATAATCCTTCCCAGGAGCAGAAAGAACCAAATCGTTCCCTGTACTGATGTTTGTGATTAAATGTAAAATCTATATGTGACTTGTTGTTTATTTACTTCTTTGTCTTTTGTCTTTGCCTTTTCCTCCTATGCAGTCATCTACAGCCAGGGACAAGGATGAACAGGCTCTACCGGTAGGAAGCAGCGGCCTTGTCTGTACCTGTTCATGTGCCTGTGGAGAGTGTGGGGCAGGGGTGGGAGGAAGAGAGGCTTTTGTGCTCAACAGATCATCCTCTCCCTTGGAATACTGAAATGGTCTAATCTGCTGGTGTATGTATGCTCTTTCCTATAATTAGTGTCAACTGAATTCTTAAATACAGTGACAAATTATTTCTGGGACTAGGTTTCAAAACTTGAGTTCTCTCTTGCTCTTGGCATGAAAGAGTTGAAAGAGTGAGATATTTCCAAATTCCATTCCAAGGGATGTTGAGCTGATATTTGGGGACAGGGTGGGATCTAATGCTTGATACCTATTTCTTTGTGTATCTGCATGCACCTAATTTGGGGTTGGAGATTTCTTTTGGTTCCATCAAAAGAAATGCTGCATGAGATCTGTATATTCAATCTCTACATAATGCCCCGAAGAATGCTTTAAGTTCTATAAATGTAATCCTAGGCTAATGAAGATCTCTGCAGAAGAGTTCCTTCTGTTTCTCAGAATCAGGACCATAGTAACAGTGATTAAGACAAACTATTAACAACAAACACATTTTCCAGTTCCTAGCCGATTAACACATCACACTTTGTATTGTGCAGCTTGGCAAGGAAATGACCTTCAGAGTTTTTGTGCTCAGCCATCAAACCGTGGTTACATTTCAACTCCACTCAAATATTTTAACCTTGCTCCTAAAATATTTTGAGCCTTAATCATCTTAATCAAATAACACAATGCATTTTAAAATGTTCTAGATTTTTGAGGCTGAAAGGACTAGTAATGAAGATAAATTTGACCCCATTCTTCCTACTGTGGTGCTCAGAGCAAACACTTGAGAGCCCGTAGGACATGCAAATCCAGTACAGAGCTAGGAGTGCAGACCCAGTCTCTCCCTTTGTGACCCGTGATCTGGTTCACCACTGAGACCCCACTAATCCCCTCTGAATCTTCTCCAAACCCTATGGAGTTGGAAATATTATTTCTAATAGAATATCAATTATAATAAAATCACATTTGAAAATTCAGTTTTCTCCATGTACCTCATACTGACATTTTACCCACGCTTCAAGCTTACTCTGGGCTTCACGTTTCTCTCCAAACATGTAGACCATGATTGTTAATAAGTATTCTTTAGAATAAGGGATGTATGGGCAAAAGTTTGGGAAACACTGTCCAAGTTAATCAAGTTAACCAGATTTCTTTTGTGTTAGACTTAGTGGTCTAATGTATAACCTAAAATTTTAAAGGTGGGTTGGTCTAGGGTGGAGCACCTTTTAAATATATTTGGTCATGAAGTCTTTTATGGGACTTTTCTTGGGAAACCCCCTCGTGGATCTGGAGTGTGATGGAATATTTTGCAAAACATTGTAAAGGATTGGAAGATTCCTCAGCGGGATATAGTATTTTATGTTTACCTGACCCTAGAAAAATTTCATGTCACAACTTTGGACCAAAAGTTCAATAAGATTCTCTCACATGACATTACCTCCCTCCCTCTTAAACCTGCCCATCTATAAAGCTCAGCTGCTCTGAAACATCTTCCCCTCGATGAGCAGCACAAAATCAACTGAAGGAGGAGAAAGTAGTTCCTGTTCAGGATAACAATCTGTCAAAATATAGAGAGTTTAGGGTCCTTCTTTATATTGTTTGCTTTTGAAGATTGACTGAAAAATTTTGTTGGCAACATCTCTAGAAGTGCATTCTTCCTCCCTTACTTTTGGGTTTCATTTATTGGGCCAAAGTAGCAGGAGTTTATGCAAAAGGAGTCCTCTTTGGAGTCAGAAAGCTTCTCTGTGGATTCAT